CTTCCATCTCCAATACAATGGCAACTTCTGTTTCTAGCCTCTGTTCCAGGCATTTTAGCTGGTCGTTCAGCTGTTGCCGTATATCTGTAAGAGAGAAAAATTACAGTAACTTTAAAATACAAACATTTCAAAAATGAAAAAACAGGGTGAAATCTATGATCACTGGTATATAAAATGTTGCAGTAGAATGGAATAGAATATCATGTAAATAACAAAAAATTGGTGCCAACAAAACTTTAAATGAAGTTAAAAGAATAAAAATATTGACAAATCTATAACAGAAAACACACAAACACAATTATCCCTTGATATCAGCTGGGCAATTGTCTCAAGACCCTGGCAAATACCAAAATTCAAGTCCTTTATAAAATAGCCTAGTGTTTTCACGTAACATACACACACCCACCTGTAATGATTAACTGTAATGCTTAATACCATGTAAATAGTTGTTAATGCTTTAAGTATGAATAAAACATTTTGTTTGGAAATTGGTATCTGAGTGGGAAAATTCCAAACTTGTATAAAGTAAATTTTATCAAAATTTTGGTGTAAGCAGAAAGAATAGAGAAAGTTTTGGTATCAATATATGTGCATATTATAGAATCTGTAATATTTATGAAGAGAGATAATGTGGTAAGTTGTTTATCTGTAATTGAAAAAAAAAAAAAAAAAAAATTTAGGAGAAAAGCATCTCAATTTTAAAAATCTGCCAAAAAGAAACAAATCTTGAGATTCTAATACAATTTTTGGTACTTTCATAAAAATCAATAACAAACAAATGAAAGATGGTTGCATATTTCTCATTTGTTTGCTACTTGTGTTAGGAACAAATGTCAAATGAGAAGAGAGTTTGAAGAGCTGTAAAATAAGAAACTATGATTACATCTCTTCATTCACATGCAATTACATTGACACTCTTTAAATTCAAGCTTTGCATTTGGGAACTTTATTGTATTTTAAAAGAAAAGATTTTTTTTTCATCAGCATTCAATTAAGCACATAGATTCAAAGGATTCCTGAAATTGATTAACATAAAATATAACCAAGTTTAGATTATTTCAACAGTTGTTTAGATTGAGTAAACTCAAACCATGTGTTGTTTTGTAGTTTCCACAATTATAAACACTAAGTTCAGACGGGTGTGAGTTGTGCTTTCTATCCACTGGCCAACATAAGGTATCTTCACTTACTTATATATCAGTTGTAACTATTTACTAATACAGTAGACAGAAGTTGGGGTGTACACACATCTCTATATAGAAATAGCAAGTTTGTACTGCTGATCATTATTTGTGCAGATGGCTCAGTCATGGCCTTGAGCCATACTAAATTAAACTTAGTAATAATTGTCAGAGAGAGAGAGAGAGAGAGAGAGGAGGAAAAAACAAACCAAAAAAATACATGCACACAAAGATACACATTAAAGGTGGGTGAAAATGTTTAGTATAGGGAAAGATTCAAGTTTCATAAGTAGGAGGCACCCCCCTCCACTGTCCATAAGGATGTCTAAACTTAGTGTAGTGAAGGTGCACCAGAAAAAAAAAATCCTCAGGTGAACATGAAGAATGGAATGTAAGGTACTTAAAAAAAATAAAAAGAAAAAAAAGAAATCATCCTCCCACTTGCAGGTTTTGTTCAGTGCTAGCCAAAATCCTATCCAGTTATTTCTTCAAGCTGAATTGTTAAAACAAAAAAAAAAAAAAAAAAATTCTGAGATATGATGATGATGATAATAGGGGACATGCTTTGTAAAAACTGAGTGATATATTTTTCTTTGTTGCCTGTTATACAAAATCTTGGCAATGTCAAATATAAACCTAAGAGCTGACAACAGATGATTTTCCTGCAGATAAAAACTATTAATGTCTTTTTTCTAGCATCTTAAAGTAAAGATGAGAGGGGAGGAGAAAGAAGGGATATTAAGTTAGGTGAGGCTCCTAAACAAAAATAAAGCATTAAATAAAAAATATTTGATAACTCCTTCAAATCAAGAACGGTCCACCAAATACAAGTGTCTGGAAAAATTGCAGCCATTTTGATTATTTCAAAAACCAATTGCATAGTCTTGATATAACCTGGTAACCAATCAAAATGAACTTATTTAAAACTTTTGCACATGTGTGAAGACACTCACTCATGTCAACAGCAAGATGCAAAAGCAAATACAGGTTTTATATTTTGTACAGTCTTTTGGCCAAATTTTTTGTATCAGCCATCCAACAATCTAGACATGGCACTCTGAAGTGAAGAAACAAATACAAAACAGAAAGATTACTGAATAATCCAAAGTTTGTTTACTGGGGAGGGTGAAAAAAGGAGGTGGGAGACAAACTGAACACTTTAATCCAGAACCAATGGCTTTAGTAAGTAATAACATTTCCAAATAACAAAATAGGTAATGATTGATCTGGAACCTGAGAGGATAGAAGTTATTCCCTATGACCAGTTACAAATGTCAGATGGCAAAGATAATGTTGGAGACTGTCTTGGCCTCTGATCAGTGAGAGACCCAAGTTTCCTCATGGTGGCCACTGATCAATGGTAGACTAAATTAAGTCTGACAGGGGATTAAAAAAAAAAAAAAAAAAAAAAAAAAAAAGATGGTGGCAGAGGATAGAGTCACATCTATTTGAGACTGACCTTGTAATACCTCAGTATTTTGTCCTGCTTTAGAAATAAGCATTTTCTAATCTGTAAGAAATTTGTGTTTGCCTTGGTGTTCCAGCAAATAGGTTACATCTGTGGTTTCACATCTGTTTCCATCTATGGCCCCTATTTTCTCAACTATCTGTAGTTCTTTTAAGTTGTTTTCTGAACGTGTGTGTGTATATATATATATATATAAAATCCCTCACCACTCAACGAAATCTTCAGATGCCAAGTACGAACTAACAGTTTTGTAATTTGAATTTTAATATATCTGGTTATTGTAATGTTGGTGTAGTTATATATTAGGCTGGGATTACAGTTTTTAATTTTAAAAATTATATCAAAATAAGTGAGATTTATATATGTATGTAAGAAAAAAAAATTAAATTAAAAAATTTGGAGTTGTAAATATTCACATTTTAATTAAAGGGATATCTAATTTAAAAAAATGAAAAATAAACAGTAATTTACATTAAAAATAAACTGTAATTTACATTAAAAATTAATATGGACCAAAATATTTAAGCAGATATTTATTTTTATGCCTACATGTAACCAACAAATTTCTCTTGTTTAATAAGAGTTCAATATTTAAGTGTTTAAGATAACCAGTTTTTCAACAAGACATACATTTATTTTCATTTCCATTATAAGATTTGGCTCTTGCTATAATATCTCCGTTAATAAGGGGAACTACCATTAATTTTTTTAATTGCCAGAAATATTTAGAGAGAGCACTGCTGTTTTTCTATTTTATATTGTCATGCAATGATGATGATGATGATGATGGTGTGTGTGTGTGTGTGAGAGAGACTTTTATAAGCTACAGCAAATTTAGTATAGAAGATAAGGAAATTGAATATAGAAGAGGCTGCACTAGGGGTAGTTTTGTCCAACACCACAAGATGCTCCAAAAACAGAACATAGAGTCATGCTATTAAATAGCCTCATTAATTTTAGACATTCATAAGGATGTCTAAACTATCAACTGTATACAACCATTTCCTCAGATGAATGATTAAAAATGGCTTCAAGCAAATAAATCCTCTAGGCTTTAAATAAGACAATCCTTCATGAAATCTTAAAGACTGGCACTATAGAATCACACGCAAAGAACTTTACTGGATAACAAAAAACATCACATGAAGACTTTCAACAGCAGCAGCAAAAAAAAAAAAAAAAATGATATAATCATGCTGTTGACTTTCCACACTTCCTTAAACATTTAGGAAGAAAAACCCCATTAATACAAGAACAAGCAATAACAATGGGCTTGAGAAGCCTATTTTCTTGAAAAACTGTTTTGAGAGAAAGATTTTATCAATTTCAACCGACAATAACACTAAATGTTTGGTTAATGAATGCTGAATACTTTTGGGGTGGAAATAGCTTGTCTCAACATTACCATATCCTCAAGGAAAATTATACACGTGGACAACTTAGAAAAAAAAGTTAATCAATAAAACTGCCCTCTGCCTTGAAGTTTGATGCAGGCTCAGAAGCAACAGCATACTCAGATCAAGTGGCTCTTATTTTACCCATCATGTCTGTGATTAGGTGTTTCAACTACTTGTAGTTAACATTTATTTTAATATACACCTCAACACTGAAACAAAGAGCTATGCACATTTTCGTTACCAGTAGAAGTACAAAAATTTCAGTCGGTAGTAAAATAAAATAGAAAAATAATATTGAATATTCACACCATGAATGCATTTTAAAGACAAAGAAGAAATATCTTATTCATCATTTCTGACATGTTGAGGAAGATTTTTTTTATTTATATTTTGTAAACAGTCATTCTTAGCTTCCTTTGGAAATGAAACTTTATTTTGGGTTTGTGCCTCAAATGTTTTACAAGTGTCCTTTAGCATGAATTGTTCTCTTCCAATTCTTCTTGAATTGATTTTTATTAATTGTGCAATGAATGTGTATGATGAAGGAATAGTTCAGTGGTAGAGTACTACAATCCAAAAATAATTTCTACACCTGCATTATATATATATATATATATATATTTATTAGAAACACACATACAAATATAAGAATGCGCACATAGATGCCCAGAGTAATATTAAAAAAAAAAAAAAAAAAAAAAAAAAAAAAAAAAACAATTTTGAAGAGACTCTGCAACTCTCTTAACTGTTCCCAAATATATCATCAGTAGGAATCAATTCGGGAAATGTCAGTCTGGAGAAAATATTTAGGTTTATCTCAGTGGTCAGCACAAATATGCAGAGAATTCAAACAACTCACATGATGATCCAAATAAATCCTTAGGTAAGAAGATGTAAAATTATTCAACAAACTTATTTTGAGTCTTCCTTTAACAAAGTTAAACACTAGATGACCAAAGGAGAAAATGAGAGACAAGAAAGATTGAGAGTTGAAAGAGAGACAGAAGACTAACAGACAGAGAAGGGTGGGGGTGGTGTTGACAGACAGAAACATAGCAGGTGGTGGGGAGCAGTTGGGTGACAGCAGACAGAGACTGGGAGTGGGTAGCTGCAGTGACAGACTGGGACAGACAGAGATGGGTGAGGGTCAGTGATTGACAGACAGACCAGGAGTGGGAGAGAGTATGGCTGGGTCTTAGAGATACAGATGATGATGGTGTGGGCATACAGAGACAGACAGATGGTAAGAGTGGGTGGAAGGATAAATTCATGATGGTAGCCATTTTTAATTTTGTAATTGAGACACTGGTATTTGGTATGAACAAAATGATGTTAATCAAGTTTCAGTTCTGAATTTTGTGGTCTTGTCCAAAATCATTTCTAATTTCCTCGGGTGGTAGAGAAGCATTTAACAGTTTTGTTTCCCCACCTCTTCAATTTCCTAAATCTGCTTGTTTTGCATGACGAACAATGATTTAAAAATAAATTCATCAAGAGCAAAAGGAAATATTAAAAGGAGAAAAATTTACAAACCCAAAAATTGCACTTCCTCCATAAATCTGTATAAATACCGCTAGCATTTAAAAGCAAAAAATATATTTAAAAAAAAAAAAGAAAAAAAAAAAAAGAAAAAATAGTGGGGGGAGCAAAGGCTGTTGCCATGGATAAAGTAACATATTTATACAAAATGTGATTTAAAAAAAAAAATAAATAAATAAAAAAAAAATCTAAATTTATACAAACCACAGACCCTTATTATTACTATTATTAACATCTTTTGAGAGACTGTATCTAAAGAGAGTGATATTGAACACAAGAGATTTTTTCAAATTAAGAGTCATGTACTTCCCAAAGAATATTTTGTTTTTGTGCAATAAATGAATAAGTTCCCAATTTGTTCAACATAAATGCAGGAGCAATCAAGTTATAACAAAAGCTTTTTTTTGCATATAGTCTGGTAAATGAAATAAATCTCTCTAATTCAGTGGTTAATGCAAATCTGTGAATATATTGCCTATAAGATTATCTGTATTGGATGTGTGTACTGGATTTGTTCATGTGAAAGGAATGGATCATGTGTCTATAAAATGTCTATACTAGAATTTTCAAGCAGTTTGCCATAAACACAGAGGCTGTGTTGGAAAAGACTCACTTGCAATGAGCAGATCATGTGAACGAATATCAACTCCCAAAGAAAAAAAAAAAAAAAAAAAAAACTATTTGGAAAACTAGACTCTGGCTGACAGAACCGAGGCCTCCAAAGAAGACAAGAAGTGGAAAAGAATCAATTACTATAAGCAGGCAACAGAAGTGTTCTATATTTTTCTTTCTAATTTTTAATGGTCACTGTACATAAATTTCCTATATGTACCAATTCCAAAATGTGTATGCACCTGCGCGCACACACACACACAGGCATTTACTATTTACAGGGTATAAAACTAAAAGAGAGATATGGCAAAAGTATACCAAACAATCTGGCATCTCGACTTTATTAACTTTCTCACTACCATAAAGTAGTCTCCCTGTGCCTTTTCTGTAAGTATTTTTATCACAGCTCTTTTGATAAGCATTCCTTTTTCGTACTTAAACTTCATGAATTTAAATCTAGTACTAGATTGGTACTTAGGTCTCATCATTTCACCTGCGAAATTGTTAAATTTTTCTTTCACACTTCTTACCTATGGAACGATTTCGGCTTATTGCTTTCCTGTCAACTATAACTTACAAAAAAATACATTAAAAAAAAAAAATCATCTTCTGTCTCCTTTAATCCTGCTTGTTTTTATCGTCCTTTCTTCTCAGTAATGTTTCCTCAGTTTCCTTCACTTTCATAAAATATTGTAGCCTAAGCTTTTATCACCTTGCTTGGAGGTGATTTAAGAAGAAAAAAATAAAAAAAACCTTCCTCACCAAGGTAAATCACAAAGCAACAGAAGAGACAGCATCACCAAAAGTAGATTCCTATGACTGTTGGAGTGTCTCCTAAAGCTGATGTAAGAAGGCCTGTCTTATCTAGGGCTCAATGGTCACCTTAGAACCAATGATAAATATTGAATCCCACCTTGCCATCCAACTCTTAAATCTTTGTTCATAAACCCAAGCCATGATGATAATGAGAATTTCAGCTTTTATGGAAACCCAAGATGGTGTAACAGTTGTCAGTACAGAAAATGGAATTGGCGAACAAAGTTCAATTCCAGTTGTAGCAGTTGGTGTTCATTTCACAATTAAGCCTATGAAAAGAGTATGAATCTACTTTACTATAACTGTTCCATTTCCAATGATCGACAAAAGTAGTCTCATTCTTGAGATGACAGATTTGTTAACAGATTTAATACTTTAATAAACCAGTCGCTCATTTTCAATTGCTCAAGTAGTAGCGGCAAAAAGCAGAAGTCAATAGTTTATAGGAATTTTAGCAAAAAAATTCAACAGATAATAGCTCAGATCAATTCCTGTCTTGCATGTCCAATTTGATCTTGCTACATAAAAATTAAGGAATAATCCAAATTTATATCAACACATACACTCATTTATGCAAGTAAAAATCATTTTTTGTATATTTAATTAAATGTCAACTTCAGCAGCTTCTACTCAATGACAAGTCACTTCCTATTTATAGAAGTTATACTAATTATTTGTAAATGCTAATTATTTCAAAGTTTAATAATAATCAAAGTAATCACTGGTATGCTACTATGACTGATGAAGTAGAATGCAGACAGATCAGGGGTAACTAATTAGCAGTTACCAGGCAGAGATTTATCTCCCTTGGCAGACATTATTTTGGATGTCAGCACATACATAATTGAGCATAACTACATTCTTGCTTCATTCTTCAAGTTAGAACAATGCTATTAAAATACTCTAACAAAAATGGTAATAAAAAATATGCTATTTTTGGTGTGTTGTAGCAGACAAACATACAAAAATCAGATCATTATCAGATAGACTATATGATCACCACTTTACTATGAATGGAATGTGTGAAGTGATCAGTTTTAACTTTGTGCAGTGCATCTTTTTCTCATGAGGACAATTTTAGAAAGCAGTGTAAAAAATCTAGACTTGGGTATCTGCCAAAGAAAGGCATGCAAAGATGAAGATTTCTGCTACAAATAATAAATATCCAACAACTAGAGTGGCCATTTATTTTATAAGTTAATATTGCAAATTGTTCTAACCAAATAAAAGCAGTCATAGCTATTTATGAGAGGTGCAGTTTAGAGTAGGATCATTGTACTTCATTGATGAAGTGAGGATTTCTTCTATATTCCAAATGTAAGTAAAAAGTTCTACTTTGACAGCTCCTCCTGTTACAGACTGCTCGATGGATGCTTTCTTAACACTACAAAACTTCTTCAAATCAAGGGTCAATCATTGTCTATCCTTCTCATCCTCATAATCTTCTTTACCTTCCACACTCATATAAAACTTCATTCATCATCAACCATTTTAACAGTAACTTCTATCTTGTATGGCTCTTCCATCCTGTATTGGGCAAATTTTTATATGAAAAAAAGAAAAAGTCAACAAAATAGCCAAGATATCACTTGTTTCTAATATAAACTATTTTGTGGATGAGGTGATCCTTGTTGTGTTAAAAAAAAACACAAAAAAAACAACAAATATATAACAGGAGAGAGAGTGACATGCTATTTTTGTGTATAATGCAATCCTTACTTTACAATACAGAGCATGAAAAAGTATCCACTGGCCAAATATGGAGGTGGCAATCTCATATATACAATCCATTGCTAAAGAAGCTGAAAAAAATGGCTGATTCCTTGTTCACTTCAGTAAGTACCTAACTCCTACTGATATGCTCTAAACTTACAAGAGCCATATCAGACTGAAAAAGTAGTAGTACTACTACTACCACCACCATTATAGCTGCCCAGTTTTTGCTTTCCAGATTTGATAGCGTTCAAATTAATCACTCAAAAGTCGGTGTAGAGCATCTACACCGACTTCTGAGTGATTAATTATTTCCCACTAAAACCTCTTTTCCACAGATGCAATGTAACAAGCCTCTTGCTATTCTGCTGCCATTTCCATGGAAAATGTTGATGAGCTACATTCCTTCATTCCTCACAGCTAAGAAGCACCATGCCATGTCCACTAGAATGAATCATCCTCATTGCCTTCATATTCCATTAGTAAGGAGGAAGTTCCACTTGAACAGCTTCTTCTCACAAACCGCTACCTTGTGGAACAGATCCTAGAGAAGATGCTTTCATGCCCATTACAATGTTAACCTCTTCAAGTCTAGGATTAACCATTATCTTCATAAACTATACTATTTACCTCTTACTGCTCACATAACACCCTCCTTTCCTTTAATAACCCTATACCTTGAGTGGTTCTTGGGTCTTGTATAGTGAATGTTAGTAAGGTAAAAGAAGTAATTTAGTATTGCAAGTCATTTGAGCCAAACAAAAGCTGTAAATACAAGTTGGTTGTTTATAAGATGTGCTGCTTTAGATTAGCAGTTACTTCATGGACACAACTGCTAAAATATTATACTGTTTTATATTGCAAACTCACATTTTGACTTCTGATTCCAATACAAAACTTCTTACATTGGAGACAAATAAATAGGCTAAGTATCCAAGACTTGTCTTCTGAAAATTTTTTCTATAAGTCTCAATTTTGTATGCTAGATGCAAAACCACTAAGTGATATTTTAAGAGACTCTTTTACATCATCAAAATAGTCAATTAAGATAGTAATCCTCTTGCTACAGTCAGTGCCAAAGTCCATCTTGAAAACCAATTCACTAGTTTAGAAAGTTTCCTCCTTACTGAGTGACCCAATAAGATATGTAAATCAAGATTAAAAATGGAGAGGATACAAAATATAGGATCCATGCCTTAATTTAAAGTACTACCATGAAATAAATGAAAACTTTGTTTTTGTTTAATTTTCAACAATGAGTTTATATTAAGTGTACTTACATGACAGAAGCTATTTAATAAATTAAATGATAAAAATCACAACTTCAGATTTAAATACTGAAAAACAAAAAATTGTTTCTAAGAGCAATTAACATATCCAACATTCTTTAGATATTCAAATCTTTGACCATTTAATCTCTTTAATAAACTATCTACAAGAACATAATATATCCTGTAAGAAAGTGGAAAGTGATAACTGTGCAAACCTTTTCTGACATTTAAGAAAAATATTAATTTGCATAAAGCATAACATTTTTTTAGTTTGGATTGCATATCTTGTGAAGGCAGCTTAATTAGCTATGGGGTCTCCACCAGTCCTTGTG